GCCAAGGAGGACTTGCTCCTCCATTCTAATTCCCGTCTGCTTGCAATTCCTATGAGCACTCCAAAGCTTCTAGAATCCCCAGTAGCAGCTGAGCCCCATTTGCAGCTTTCCCAACACATAAAGAACCAGCTCAATCAGTTCTCCCTCAATGACAAGAGCAGGGCTGCAATGCTCCTCCTTAACAGCCTGAGTTTCTGCTCCTCTGAGTTTCCAAGTTGTAATAATTCCAACTTCTTCCTTGTTTCCTCAGCCATAGATGTGGTGGCTGCTTCTTAGTTACCAGCACCCTAACTTTACTTTTGCCTTTTGGATTACCTAGTTAACAACTTTATACCATATTAACCTTTCTTTAGATTAAATTCTCTGTTGAAATAATTGGTGTGATTTCTGTCTCCTGACTGGACCCTAGCTAATTCAGTAGTGTTATTCATGAAGAGACGGCCAAATGAAGAATGTTAAAGTGCCCTATGCTTCCCCACATTAGGATTCCTTACTGTAGCTGCAGGACCTTCACAAAGCCTCTCATGGAAGGTAAGGCCATTAGAGCCTTATTGTTTATTACTGCATTAAGGATCTGGCCCCATATGCTTAAGTGGAAGCCCTAACTTTGGTGAGCAGGGCTAGATCTGGTGGGTCTAACTAGGAGGGGCCTGAGCATCCTCCTTTTCCCTGGGTCTCTTTCAAAGCAGAAGATCCCTCTCAAGCAAGAGACATATTGAGACTCGTCTTGTTATCACCTTCCCAGTGTCATGGGACAAGAGGAAGAACCATCAAGGATGATGGGTAGGGGCAGGGGGTACATTTTGAGAGAGAAAAACTGAAAGGCCAGGAAAATCAAGAGACTGACCCGAAAGAAAGGATGTCAAGTGAAAACCCAGTATGTTCATCCCTTTTCGTCATCTCTCCAAAACCTTGACTCTCAGCAGCATGCTCATTAATATCCTTGTTCTTAACCTTGCTTAACCATATTAGCATTACTTTCTGGGGATGAGGGGTACTGTCATCCTAGAGAATCGTAAGTAGAGTCTGGTGAACAAATTTTCAAGTGCTAGTGTGGTGAATGAGAACAATGTAAGTTGGATGGTCTTTAGGAATATTTCTACGAAGTAAATAAGTTCCCATTTTCCACATCAGACTTTGTGTCTGACAAATTGGGACCAACTGTCTAAGCTCATGGTGCCCTCATTCTTAAATAGCACAGAAGGCACATACAAATCCCTATTTATTTATTTTTAAATTTTGCTTTTCCTAGATTCATCAAATTGCTTTATTACAAATAAATTTTTGAACATTACACCTAAATTTTCCTTTTGAAAACACATATTTAAAAAACAACATATTCTTGTCATTGCTTATTAAAGCATATGGCAAGTCATCTACTAGCAACAGCTATTGCTTTTGACCTATGAGCTGAGCACATTAGCTCATTAATTTTACTATTAATCTATATTCACATTAATAATATATTGTTTGGACTAACTAGTACCACAGGGGGCAGAAAACCCAAACACTGTGTTAAACAAATTAGAAGTTTATTTGTCCCTCATGAAACCAGTCCAGGACTGATACAGAAGTTCCACAAGCAGCAGGGACCCAAACTCTGCCTATTTTATTGCTCTGCTGTCTTCAACACATGGCTGGTACCTCATTATTAAGAACTCTTGAAACTTAAACACATTGCTTTCACTTGCATCCCACTGTTGAGAATCAGTTGCAAAGTCACACCAAGCTGCAAGGGAGGCTGGGAAATGCCTTTATTCTGGACAATTATATCTTCCTCTTTACACTGTGGTATATGATGAGCAGTCTGTCCAACATGAGGACCTCCGTTCTCCTCGAGCAGCTCTTCCTGATTGCACCCTTAGGCTTTTGTTTTATTTGTAATTTAAAAACAGGTTTATTGATAGATAATTCACATTCTGTACAATTTGCCTATTTGAAGTGGACAATTCAATAATTTTTAACATATTCAGAGTTGTGCAATTATTGCTAAAATCAATTTTAGAACATTTTCACCCTCCTCCAACCTAAATAAACCCCATATCCATTAGCAGTTACTTCTCTACTCACTTTCCCAGCCATAGGCAACCACTAACCTACTTTTTATATCTATGAATTTGACTATTTTGGACATTTCATATAAATGAAACCATCCAGTATGTGGTCTTTGGTGACTGGCTTCTTATACTTGGTATGTTTTTGTGGTTCATACATATTATAGCATGTACTGGTACTTCATTTCCATTTTATGGCCAAAGATTCCACTGTATGGATATATAAGATTTTATTTATACATTAATCAGTTGATGGACACTTGGGTTATGGTCACTTGTTGGCAATTATGAATAATGTTACTATCAATATTCACATATACATTTTTGTATGGATATATGTTTCTATTTGTCTTGAGTCTACTCCTGGGAGAGGAACTGCTGGGTCATACAGCTCAAACTTAATGTTTAACTTATTAAGGAACAGCTAAACTGTTTCCCAAAGTGACCACATCATTTCATAACCCCATTGGCAATCTGTAAGGGTTCCAGTTTCTCCATATCCTTGTCAACACTTGTTAGTGTTTGACTTTCTGATTACAGTCGTGCAAGTGGATGTGAAATGACATCTCATTGTAGGTTTGCTTTGCATTTCCCTAATGACTAATGATGTTAAGGTTTTTTTCCTCCTGCTTCTTGGCATTTGTAAGTCTGCTTGGGAGAAAGTCTATACAAATCATTTGCCTACCCTTAGGTTCTGAAATCTATTTCGTTTTCAAACACAGTTCTATGTCAACTGGTTACAACCTGCATACTAGGTTGGAATTTCTTTCCACTTCAGCTCCAAGAGAAAGCTGGGTTTTTATATATTGTGGGAAATTCAGTGAGGCTTTGAAAAAGTTAGCATTTACATTGAAGTCATGTGATATGGTATAAATTGCAGATTTTATTCAGTAAATGTAGACTCTCCGAGGAGACATCTTATTTAAAAGCAAAGGAGCAGCCAACTTACAGGACAAGATGGGACTAGAGTACAGATTAGTTTCCATCTTCTAGGTTCTCAAGCTTTTTAAATATTAATTTTAAGATACAAGGTGCAAAGCTTTAGGAATACTGTTTAAAAATATATAAGCAGGCTGAGCACAGTGGCTCATGCCTATAATCCTAGCACTTTGAAAGGCTGAGGCAGAAGGCCTGCTTAAGCCCAGGAGTTCAAGATCAGCCTGGACAACATAGTGAGACTCCTGTCTCTACAAAACAAACAAACAAACAAACAAACAAACAAACAAACAAAAAATGATGCTTTTAGCTAAAAATAACCCTTTCAATTCTTTACATGTATTCAATATTTTAGTTAAAAAATAATGCTTCTGATTTCTTATCTCTCTTTCCACAAGTGATACTGAACATAGCCTATGTAATATATTTTGCTTGAAATGTGAAAGCCAAAGTCAAATAAAATACTATATCTAATTGTGGAGCCCAACACCATTTCATTAGTGAAGATGCTAGAGGTAGGCTGAGGGACAAAAAAAGACAATATAATAAAATGGAAAACATGCTGACTTGGACATCTAGAGTCAGTGTTCTATCATAGAATAAATCACTTAACCTCTCTGGACCTGAGTTTACAAATCTGGGAAGGAAAAGGTAGAAAGCTATATAGATTTCTGAGGACCATCTCAAAATCCTATTTATCTACAATGACTGAAGAGCATAGCTTGTCTATGGCAATTTCTAGGAGCATATATCCATGAAAGATAAGTCTACTTAAGTAAGATGGTCCCCAACCAGAAAGTCTACTTCACCTTACTAAGTAAAGGTTGTCAATAGAGACATATTCCAATCCCCCAAACCGTTTAAGTGTGTTTGCTGTTTTGTGTCTATGTGTGACTCTAGCATTTCCCATTTTTATAGTATTTAACAAAATAGGTTGTGTTCAAAATATTTGGAAAACTATGGGCAAACAGTTGTGCTACTCTTTTAGTTACTTATCTAAAATCTATTCCCCACTTCTTCCTTAGTTTAACATTAATTCGATTTGAGACAGCAATATGGCTAGGTCCACAGTGATTAATTGTGACTGGCCTAAGGTAATCATTGCAACCCTGTTTTCAGCTTTTCCTGCTTCCCTTGCAGTTACTCACGGCCAAGTAAATATGTATGTCCATGGAACCCTCTTCATTCCAGGAGTGTCTCTAAAGGATTACTTTCCTGGAGAATAGGATGGCATAGGCTAACTTTATTACAAATAGTACACACAGATAAATGCATTTCCTGACCAGTAAAGCCAGAACGTGTTATCTCACAGGCCTTTCTTCCATAAGACATTTACTCTAATTTCTTCCCTTTTTTTTGAGACAGTCTCACTCTTGTCGCCTGGGCTGGAGTGCAGTGGTGCAATCTTGGCTCACTGCAACCTCTGCCTCCCGGGCTCAAGCAATTCTCCTGCCTTAGCCTCCTAAGTAGTTGGGATTACAGGTGTCCACCACCATGCCCAGCTAATTTCTGTATTTTTAGTAGAGACAGAGTTTCACAATGTTGCCCAGGCTGGTCACAAACTCCTGACCTCAGGTGATCGCCCACCTTGGCCTCCTTGGCTGAGGAGTGCTGGGATTACAGGCATGAGCCACTGTGCTTGGCCTCTAATTTCTACAAATAAATAAAAACCTATGCAGTCATTTGTGTACTTAGTCTTACCTTGTGCCCATTTTTAGGAAACACTTAAAGGAAAAATCTGTCGATCAAGAAGGTGCATGTCTATTAAACCCCTTGTCTACCATAAGCCTAGAGAACTTGGGAGTTAGTGAAATATTCATGTTAATCAATCTTTTAGACATTGTTGTGTTGTCAAGTAAAAGCTGGAATCCAGCATTCTCAGTTCTGTGTATCATTATCACCAGTGTTTAAAAAGAAAATTACAGTTCCTTCTACATCTATCACACACCTCTTCAGATTCAATAGGTCTAGAGGTGGCTTAGGCATTTATAATTTTTTTTTTTTGAGACAGTCTCACTCTTGTCGCCCAGGCTAGCAGTGGCACAATCTCAGCTCACTGCAACCTCTGCCTCCCAGGTTCAAGCAATTCTTCTACTTCAGTTTCCTGAGTAGCTGGGACTACAGGTGCACACCACCACGCCCAGCTAATTTTTGTATTTTTAGTGGAGACAAGGTTTCACCATGTTGGCCAGAATGGTCTCGAACTCTTGACCTCGTGATCTGCCTGCCTTGGCCTTCCAAAGTGCTGGGATTATAGGTGTGAGCCACCGCACCTGGTCATCTATAATTTTTTAAAGTCCTACAGTTGATTTTGATAGACAGCCAAGGTTAAAACACTATGTTTTATAAATCACAGAAGCTATGACTCTTCAAGACGCTTAGGTGAGTATGGCCTTACGACATGGTGAAAATAACACTCTCATGGGTTTCGGGACTCACATCTTGGTTCTGGCACTCAACAGCTTGGTGACTTTAAGCAGATTACTGAAAACTCTTTCAGCTTTAATGTGCCCGACTTAGGATAACTTTTGCTCTAGATGTAAATAAGAAGTGTTTATAAAAGCCCATAGAAAATTATAGAGTTCAAAAACTTTTAATGTAGTATTTAATGTTATTTTCCTCTTTATGTAGTGTCCTTTCCCTTTCTTGCATGCTGTAAAAATCTTACCTTTCCTTCCAGAGTACCAAGTTTAAATCTCTGAAACCTTCCGTAAACCAACTGCACAGAAATATTACCTCATCAGGGTTTCTGCTGAACTTTGTACACTACCCCGAGCACACTGATAGTGATAAACAACAACCTCTTGTCCCCTTGTTGGTCTAGTGTAAGCTCCTACAGAATCGGGGGTGGCGGGGGATCTTAGTCTCTTCAGCATTCCCTGGGCCTAGCAATGTCAGTTGAGGTGAACCAAAACGGTTATCTTCTCATCATTGAAAACACAAAGAAATTGCCTTTTTAGAACCCAATTACCTATTTTTCTCTTCTTTTTCAAAAGCAGAATCTTTTCTTCAATCTACTTTTTACTTGTGGAATCCCAATCTGAAAAGATTGAGGGGTTGAGGGATGCTGAGATCTGCCCTGGTAATCACAACACCTATGGTAACACAGGTAATCATCTATTAGTGCCTGTACCTAGTGGGTGCCTGGCTACCCATATGACAGACACTTATCTAATAATTCTCTCAACCACCTTATAAAAGATGTACTATTATTACCCCATTGTATTGCTAGATAACAGAGGTTCAGAGGATTTAGGTAATCTGCTCAAACAAGATCACAAGGCCAGAACTAGAATACGGATTTCACTCCAGAGCACCACATCTGAACTTCTGCACGCAACTTCTTCATCTGGAGATATCTGGATGATTCAGTTCCTTTAGTGTGGTTCAGGGGCAAGTAACCTCGAGTTAATCTGGGCTCTCATTTGATAGAGATTATAGTAAACTGTAACTAACCAGACGGGAGGTGGAAGCATCGCCACCAGAACCATTTCTTCATGATGATCCTGTCACTGGGAAGCGTCCTAACTGTAACTTCATTTTTATTTTAACATTTATTTTTAGAGACAGGGTCTCACGGTATCACCCAGGCTGCAGTGCAGTGATCTCCCAGGCTCAAGCGATCCTCCCGCTTCGGCCTCCTGGGTAGCTGGGACGAGAGGCACGCGCCAACACACCCGGATAATTTTCACATTTTTGTAGAGGTGGGGTCTCGCTTTGTTGCCCAGGCTGGTCTCGAGCTCCCTCAAGCGATCCTCCCGCTTCGGCCTCCCTACGCACTGGTATTGCAGGTGTGACCCACAGCGCCCGGCCGCTGTAACTTTAAATTGCCCGCGAGGACTCGCAGCCCAGCCCTGGCCGCCTCACCCGGTCACCGGAGGATGCCTGTCAAATTCTGGGAGCTGCAAGTGAGCGGGCGAATCGTCCGCGCGCGGCTTTTTCTTCATGACAACGGAGGCACAGTGCTTCCCGGTTCCCGGAAGTCCTTCAGGCCGCAGACCTTTCCGCCCTCCACATTCCCGCGGGTCCTTACGGACCACCTCCAGCCACCTAGTCTCCTCCGGGAGCCCACCCGCCGGAAGTGACGGCCCGGAAGCGTCTCTACTCCCACAGTGGGCGTGGAAGGAAGATGGCGGCGCCCAGCAGCCGGTGAGGAGAGAGGACACGGGGATCCCGGGGAGCGGCCAGACTGGTGAATTATGGCCGCGTCTCCGCACACTCTCTCCTCACGCCTCCTGACAGGTATTGTACCCGCCTTGGGCACGACCTTGGGGGAAATTCTTCTCTTATTGCTACATGAGAGACCATAGTTCCGGCTGGCTGCAACCTTGGGGAGCCCTTGGCGAGGTTGGCTGGCCACCGGTGCGGTGGGGAAATGACCTCTGGTGTAGCTTGGAGTGAAGAAGCCACGGAGCTAGGGTCCAGACTTGCGCTGTGGCTCTGGTGGTCTCCACCGACTCCTCCGTCCGGCTTCTGCGGAAGATCGGTGTCTAGTGCTTCTTTCAGTTTTCAGGTAGCGGAAGCTGGAGGAGAGGGCAGAGTAGAACCTTGGGGATTCATAATCCTCCTGGCTTATCAGAACCTCAGCTTCAAGCCACTGGCTTGCAATGACAAGGAAAGTGCTTTGCTTCCACTCAGAAGCCTTGTTCCAATATAAAGGGTCGTAATGACAACGGTGATGATGATGACAGTTGCAGACAGCGGATCATAGTCCCCCTCCGACTTTTGTTTTTGTACCGCCTGAGTGGTCCTTAATATAATCCTTTCACTCGAAGGAACTTGTGACAAATGTATATTGGAGCTGGAATGTTCTTCCTGGACTCTTGGCAATGTTTCAGCTCAAATGTCACCTTTTCAGAAAGGCCTGTATAGAGACCACCTTATATAAATTAGGCCCCCCTACCTCCTTCTTTTCACATCATTCCATTTATTTCTTAAATTATGGTTAGCACAGTCCGTACTTGTTTATTTATATACTCGTTTATTATTTGTTTTTCTCAACTAGAATATAAACCTGGTGATGGCAGGGTCAGTGGTCATCTCTGGGTTACCTCTGTGTTTCCAATGCCCAGAACAGTACTTACTAAGCAAACATTGTTTGCCCTCAGTAGTTATTTGTGGATGGGTGAAATTTGTCCCCTTGGAGATATTAAAGAGGACATTAGGAATTGTCTTGCCCCAGTATTTTAGATGGTAACTAATGGTTGTATGAGGAATATGATGCCCATGGTTCATATTAGAGGCCAGATAAGAGAAGCCAGGGACTGCCTTCTGATCACATCCCAGAAACTTTTTTCACTTGTCACCTACCACACACAGCTCTCTGCACCATCTGGTGGTGTTGACACTGTGACTCCATGACACTGCTTTCTTCTTTCTTTTGTTATTTTATGGCTCTCTTCTGGTGTGTGTGGTCCCAGGGTAATTTGTTTGATTTTTCTGGAATCGAGTTTACTCATCTATAAAATGATGTCATTGAACTAGGTGATCTCAGAGGTCCTATTTGGTTTGTAAAGTGGAGAGGCAATGTAGATGAAACAGGATTGGCTAGGGTTTGGTAATTGATGAAGCTGGAGGATAAGTCATGGGAGCTCTGGTACTCTTCTGCTTTTTCACATGGCTGTGATTTTCCATAATGAAAAATTGTTGTTTTTTAAAGGCCTGTGGTTCTTTTTTGAATCACTTGTTACATTCTACTATCCCTGACTGTGAATGTTCTTTGATCCTGATCCTGGGCACTCATTCCCAGAGAACTCATCTTTTGAAATTTGAAATTTCTCCTCTGTGTGGAGGTTTTTTCAGCATGCATCCTTCAGATTAGCTGTTTTTCTGCCTTTCCATTCTATATTGTCAGCTATAGGACAATTCTGCTTGAATGCCATGAATTCTCCAGTTCCAGTAGGAGGGCTGCATATGACCCACATAGTTTGTTGCTGGATCAGTCTTTGCAGTGGTGGTATGGAAGGAATTAATAGCTTACTCCCTGAAGCTATGAACATAATTGGCAAAAACTCTGCTAGTAAGTAGCCTGTATAAACTTCCTGTGATCCACTTGGAAGATCTACTAAGAGAGCTTGATGGAAAAGCAGCACGGTGGGAGAAGGTGACAGAGAAGATAAACTGGGACAGTGTTAGTGATGGAGTAGTATCATGCCTGATTTTTCTTCTAAAAGTTCTAAGTATTTTATAGCCATTTAAAAACTGTCATCACTGGCTGGGTGCAGTGGCTCACACCTGTAATCCCAGCACTTTGGGAGGCCAAGGCAGGTGGATCACTTGAGGTCAGGAATTCAAGACTAGCTAGGCCAACATGGTGAAACACCCCCTCTACTAAAAATACAAAAAATAAACATAAAATTAAATTTTAAAAAAATTAGCCAGGTGCAATGGTGTGTGCCTGTAACCCCAGTAACTCAGGAAGCTGAGGCAGGGGAATAGCTTGAACACAGGAGGCAGAGGTTGTAGTGAGCTGAGATCATGCTACTGCACTCTAGCCTGGGTAACAGAGTGAGACTCTGTCACAAAAAATAAAAAATGTCAGCATTTTTTAGCTACTTGTCTTCTTACCTAATTTTAAAAGTCCTAAAATCAGGAACCAGTGTTGACGTTGAATAATAGATATGGTCACATGCTTCCAGAATTTTAATGTGTCTATTCTAATCTTTGTGTATCTTCAAACTCACATTTGTTTACACGGGGCTGAAATGTCTTCCAGTTTCTAGGCACTGATTTGTAGAAATGCGACATGTTTTAACTAAATGAAATGTCAGTTTCCTAGCTGTTTTTTCTTCTTACTACCATTCTGTAAAATATCAGTTTGACCCACTTAATTTTTCTTTTTTTTTTTTTTTGAGATGGAGTTTCACTCTTGTTGCCTGGGCAATCTCAGCTCACTGCAGCCTCCACCTCTTGGGTTCAAGCAATTCTCCTGCCTCAGCCTCCCAAGTAGCTGGGATTATAGGCATGCTCCACCATGCCTGGCTAATTTTTTTGTATTTAGTAGAGATGGGGTTTCACAATATTGGTCAGGCTGGTTTTGAACTCCTGACCTCAGGTGATCCCCCCACTTAATCTTGAGAGTTATCTTCTAAGGTGATTCCAAGGCAAACACATTTTCATGTTTATGGGAAACAAACATGTCTCAAACTCAGGTTTGAGACTGAAATTTCAATGAAGAAGTGATTTTTCTCCAGCCTAAGCAAATTGTCATGTATTTTTTGGGATTGTGATAGTTCTCCTTCCCACAGTCCAGGTGTGCTGTGTGGGCTATCTAGTCATCAAATATTATTTTCTTATTATATAAAAGTGCTCTGCAAGCTGTTGTATAAAGGTGGTGAGTAAAGAATTCTTGCCATCAAGAAACTAAAAAATTAGATGATGGAAACAATGTGCATGAAGAAGTGTCATACAACACAGCATAAAGTGATAGAATAGTTGAAAAAGATGGAAAATTTGACAGTGGCGTGCAAACAAGGAAAAAACAGAAACATGAACAGATTGTGAAATGTGTAGTGTTTTTTAGTGGAGGGTCATGGGTAATGTTGCTTTGGTGAGTTGTGTGAGTAATATGTATTCAGGGCTGCAGGAAGAAAACTGTTGCCTCTGAGAACATGGATTGGAAAGGAAAGGAAGTACTGAAGGCAGAATGACTAGCTTGAATGCTACTGTCATTACCATGGTCTAAATGTAAGATGATCAGTAGAAGTGGAAAGAAGTGGGCAGATTTGATCTGTATTTGAGAGTAGATTGAACCTGATGGTTGTTAAGTGTTAATGGGAGCATTCAAGATGTTCCTGAAGTCTTAAATAGGTCCTGATTTTATGTGCAATAGGGAACAGAGTAGATTGGTTGAGAATACAGTGCTCTTAAAGACATTTTGCAATCCATCCATCTGGAGATACCAAGAGAAGAGATGAAAATAGGCTCAATGACTCTAGAAATGATTTGAAGATCAGAATTATCCTATAGTTACCTTTGCTGAGGGACAATATTTAGTGTTCAGAAAGAGGGACCATGACTACCTCAACGTGGCATACATAGCAAGAAGAGACACCATCTGCAACTGAGAAGTGGAATGCAGAGAACCAGGAACACTTAGTGTCATGGAAGCCATGGGGAGAATCTGTAGTGTTGTATGGCTTGTCAGAGGCTTGAATACTATGAGGACCAAGGCAGAAGCATTGGATTTGTTGATACTTGAGAGAAGTTTCAGTAAAATGATTAAAAGCCAAATTTAGATACAACAAAAATAACTTGTTTCTAACTAGATTGATAGAACAGTTTCTTCTTCCTTTTTGTAGTTTTACCCTATGTAGTTGAAATATTAACCTGAAATATATATATATTTCAATTTATTGTCATTTATTTTTTTAAAAATTGTGCTTTTTATTTTCTACTTTTGAAAAAGTGACCAAACTGGTTGTTTTATATTTTCTTAAAAAGATCTGTAGCATGGTTATTTCAGCATGTAATGGAATAAAGCATAGTGATCCTAAAATGAAAATTTTCCCTGGCCCTTCTGAAGACTTAGACTGACTTAAACAATGAGTGGGGCTGGTAAATTGCATTATTCACAAATCTGGATTAGATTATTTCAAAGCTCTGACCCATCACACAGTGTAGCACTTAACCTTAGTAGCTGGTTTTGCTTCTGGGGAGGTGTAGTCATCATCTCATAAGAAGTACAAGTCATTTAACCTTTCTTCCACTTCTCTCTCTATTATAGGTTGGGTAGGAGGATGTGTCTGGTATCTTGAAAGAAGAACAATACAGGAATCCCCTCACAAGTTCTTGCATCTTGTCAGGAATGTCAATAAGCAGTGGATTACATTTCAGCACTTTAGCTTCCTCAGACGCATGGTATGTTTAGAAGACCATTCTTACTCTGTTACTTTCTGCCTTTTTCTCTGTATGAGGGAACTTCAGAAATTCCTATTTAATAAAAGTTTTAAGAAATACTGTTGGAAAAGAACTTATATTTAGCATCCTTAAATTTATCCAGATCTCGTTTTGATTATTCTTAACCGAAACCAGAATAATTCTGGTGTTTGAGGTTAAAAGTATGATCCTGAACTTATTGATTAAGTTTAGAGAAAGATTAAAAACGTGTGCATATTTTGACCTGGCCAAAATTGGGCAAAGCTGAACTGTTTGTTGTGTTACATCTTTTAAAATTCTTTGGAGTTTTGTGACTACATCAGTAATAGAAAAATAATTGCTTTAACAGTGCTGCCCTCTTATTTTCTTAAATCAGCAGTACATTTAAAAGTCTTTTGTAACAGTTGCACTTCTACATAAATTTAAACAATTTGACAGCTTTTATAATTTTCTAGGTATTTTATAGTGGGCATTGGTAACATACGTCAATCAGGTTGATTCTGTGAATTTGTGGGCAATATGGAACTTGCTGTTATTTGCCAGTGAGGGCATATGCCATTTTCTCAAATGGAAAAGGGTCATAGAGTGGCAGAATGATAGCTGAAAACTCATAGTGCCAGCCTGAAAGAATGGCAAACTTATAATTTAAAGTCCTATTTTGCATTTCTCTCATCTTTAACTTAAAACTTAAAATTTCAATAAAACTCGTTATATTGATGATAGGAGATTTACATTTCTAGAAATGATCAGGCTTTTTAAGTTGGGAGTCAAGGATAATGGCGGCTACTTAGAGGAGAAATTCAAATATGTATAATGTCCTTTTTTATGTAAATGGAACTCTTCATTCATGAATTTGTAATTCTTTATTAAAGACTAATATATATAATATGAAATATTTCTGATGTGGTGGAAAAGGCACTTACTAGTTATCAGCATAGGTGGCTAGTAAGTGGTAGAGACTATGTGACTCTACAACCCATGTTCTGTCTTCATCCTGCCATGCTATAAAATCATTCAGCCCTGGATTATGCCCTACCCCTGAGCCCCTTTCTATGCTGTTTGCCTGAGAACATGGAAAGTCAACAGTTTGACCTGGGCTCTTTTTTATCTTTTTTCTTGTGTTATGAGAGTCGTTCAGGCTCAAGTAAAATGATGCGATCACAGCTCACTGCAGCCTCAATCTCCAGGCTCAAACAATCCTTCTATCTCAGCCTCCAAAGTAGCTGGGACTGTGGGCATATGCCACCATGACCCACTAATTTTTTTTTTTTTCTTTTTTGTAGAGACAAGGCTTCCCAATGTTGCACAGGCTTGTCTTATACTCCTGGGCTCAAGAATCCTGGGATTACAGTTGTGAGCCATTGTGCCCGGCTGGGCTCTTGATTACTGAAAACTTTTTTATTGTATTTGGAATGTTAAGCCTCTAGAGACAATTCTGGAGAAGATAAATAAACAAGTAAATTTATTTTTCTTTCAAGGATCATATATTTCTAGACTTATCTAAATTACAGAAATTGAAAATCATTACTGAGGCCTGATTTTATTCTCCATATCTCTTAATATAGTGATTTCCATATAGCACTCTATAAATATATGATGAATTAACAGATATTAAAGCTGTGGGAAAGCTTTCAAATAATGTAAAAGTTGGACTGATTGAAGATGTTGCTAAACAATCATTTGAGAGCATTTGGGGCCTTTGTTTTATAGGAATGTGTGCTTTTTTGTTTAGTATGTCACACAGCTGAACAGAAGCCACAACCAGCAAGTAAAACCCAAGCCAGAACCAGTAGCATCTACTTTCCTTGAAAAAACATCTTCAGGTCAAGCCAAAGCAGAGATATATGAGATGAGACCTCTTTCACCACCCAGCCTTTCTTCGTCCAGAAAACCAAATGAAAAGGAATTGATAGAACTAGAGCTGGCCTCAGAAATTGAAGAGTCAATAGATGTAGGGAAAGAGACAAAAGACGAAAAGCAGTGGAAAGAGATGAAGCTGCAAGTGGATGATTTGCCAGGAATTTTGGCTCGACTATCCAAAATCAAACTCACAGGTACTTTGTTTTTCTGGTATACTTAAATACTTATTTGAAACTTTATTTTTAGTTAAACACAAAGCTAATTTTATATACCACCCAAAAAGAATAATTTGGAACTGCAGGTCCTGTCTTAGTATTTTTTCCTCTCTTCAATTTAATTGGGATTTGAAATTGAATTTTCTGAATTATATTTACACATGATTATGAATAGTATTGCATTATAAGTATTGTACTTAAAATAGTCACCCTTTCCTTCGCAATTAAAATGGAATGTTTATACTGCTTATTTCCTTGTTTTTAGTGTTTTTATACCTGCTGTAAAAATGCTGTAAGATAATAAGATTTGTAGACTTGAATTCTGGAATGGGAAGAATTGCACTGCTGGGCTTGATAGGAACCCACAGTGGCTAGAGTCTCCCAGTGCACTTCTGTGTTTTGCTTCTTGTAGAGCCTCACAGGAGGAGACAACGTGTGGGGAGGTAGGGTCCATTTTTCCTGAAAGGAGATTTGGAACCAGATTTTTTTTAACCTAATTCTAGCACACTATGCCAAATTTTGTTGCCATAGTTAAGTGATTTGGTTGTCACAATCACCCTGTAAGTCAGGCAAAGCATCATTATTATCCCATCATTTAGCTAAACTTTGACCTAGCTTTTTCTGGGCTAACCCTGTTTAGAAGGTATGTTCTGGGTCATTCTGCAACTTGGGGGAGACCTGGTTTATTATTCTTAAATGAGAATAAAGAGACTGATTACAATGTGAATAATAAGGTAAAGCCAGGCCTCTTTGAGGACAGAAAATGGTAAATAATGTTGGAGTCAGATGAAAGATGAGACAGGGAGGCTTTTGAGAGTAGAGAAGGATCAGGGAAAGAGTGGTGAGGCTTTTTTGTGTGTTGTTTTTAATTTAAAGAGACTTGAGGCTGAAATCCAGGGCAAAAGGAGGTAACTAGACAACTTCTCTCCTTAGTGACCAGCCTTACTTAAAGAAAGTTGTTTTTGAAGAAATGCTGAATAGACACAGAGGGTTTGGTGAAGGAGCTAAAGAGTCTTAGTAATACATAACGTAATGTAACTCTAAAACAATGAGATGAATTCTATGTGATCACCTTGAAAACATGTCTCAGTCGTTTGGGGTTGCTAAGCAAGGAATCAGCATGTTTCTAAAGAATTTCTCTTTTGTCGTTTACACAAGTTGTCTGAGTGTCATGCTGCTGACATGTTAAGAATGACTGTAGATAAGTTAGGCTTATAAGGATGCCACCCCAAAATTGAGGCTTCTCAGCCTGTGGGCATCAGATGTGGCCTCTGTCAACAGCAGGAGCTTCTTCGTATGCTCCATCACTTAGCACATCCACCCTGCAGATTAGCTCTCCTCTCTTATCATCCTATTTCTGTCAGTTAGAGCGTTCTTTGCTTCCATCAGAGGAGAAACCTTAGAACCAGTCTTTTTCACTTTTGCTCTCCATTCTCCCCTTCTTCTTTAATTTCTGTCACTAACAGAATCTTCTTTAAGGCCTATGAGATTCGCTTTCCCATCATTTCTGAAGCTGCCCTCCTAGTTTATGTTGGAAACACAGGAAGCCATTAGTTTTTGCAGCAGCTCCTAACTTTTCTTTTCTCTTGTTCTCTGCCCCGCTTACCCTGCAGTTGATGCTGCCCAGGGTCGCCACACTAACTTTCCCAAAACATTGCTTTCGATTTTCCTAACCTACATGAGTCTATAGTTTTTCCGTATTACCTTCTGTCTCAACCCTGCTTAGTGTTAAAGGAACACTGTAACCTGGAATGATCAAACTTTCTCTGAATCCACCTTTTTTCCCTTTCCCTGTTCCTCCACGCTACTAAAGTCAAGCACACTTGAGTTCAGATCTTGAATCTGATGTTTATTAGCCGGTGAGACTTTGGGCAGTTCCTTAACTTTATTGAGATGATTTCCACATCCGTAAAGCAGGAATAGTAATAGCTCATTTAAGAATTCAATCAAATAATTAATGCATAAAAGGCATCCAACAGCATGCTTGACATGTGGGAGACACTGCAAGTTTCCAAGTAAGTATAGGTAAACATTTGACTGTCTGCTTAATGTGTAGTATGTTCCCCTAAGGTTGTTTTTGCCTGTGGAGGGAATTGAGGTGAATGAATATTTACTCAGCAGGGATGATGAGGAGAATTGTAAGTAGAGGGAAAAGTCTTTGCAAAAGCAAAGAAGTCTGAGTTATCCTGGCACATGCAAAAAACTGCAGTGTGACTATGAGTAGCATAGTATGACTTGAGTGTCATATAGGAGAGGTGCTTATTAAGATTGAAGAGTTAGGCAGCAGTCATGTTGTCATGTTGACATATATATCAGGCTGAAGAGTTAGATCATAGCCATGGAAAGTCCTGGAAGCTTCTTTGCAGGGATATGATCACTTTGTATTTTATCTTATTTATTTACCTTTTAAGTATTTAAAAATTTCTATTAAATTAGCATAGGCTTATAAAAAATAATTAAGATAATACAGAAGCATATATTTTAAACTGAGAAAGTATCCTTTCCTACCATTCTAGATGAAAACTCCTGTGTGTGTGTGTTTGTACAACTTACCATTTTCTCATGACAGTGTAGTTTTCACTGATAATATTCACTGTATACAATTCCATTGTATGGATCTGCCATGATTAACTAGTCCTTTACAGGTAAACATTTGTGGTATTTCCAGGTTTCGCCAACTTGCCATTTTCTTATGACGGTATAGTTTTCGCTGACAATATTCACCGCATACTATTCCATTGTATGCATCTGCCATTATTAACTAGTCCTCTACAGGTAAACATATGTGATATTTCCAGGTTTTTTACTATTAAAAACAATTCTGTGCTTAACTTTTATGTATATGTCATGACAGACTCGTGCAAGTCTGTCTCTAGGATCAGTATTTAGAAATGTAATAGCTAGCTTTAAACCTTTAAATCTTTGATGGAATAACAAATACGTTTCTAAAAAGATAGCATAATTTACACTTACCCTTGACAGTATTTGGGAATTGACTTTCTCTGTGGAATCCACTCCTGCGTAAACAGTCTTTACCAGTTTTGCCAATTTGTTCATTGAAAGTGATTTTGTGTGAGTTTTCATTATTTAAGTTTTGGTCAAGTTTAGCATCTTTTTTCTATTTTGATCATTTATGTTTTTTTTCTGTTACTTGGCTCTTGTACCTTGGTCTTTCCTTATTGACTTTTTAGAATTCTTTGTAAATAAAGAAAATTGACAGTTCATACATCATATTCATTACAAATGTTTCTTCTCATTCTATCTTTTTCATTATTTGTGGTATTCTGTTGTTTCATTTTGTTTTGTTTTGTTTTACTTTGCTCTATGGAGATTTTTGACTTTTATATATATATTTTTTTCATGCTTAGAAATGTTTCACCACCCTGTGGTTATTAAAACATTCACTCATGTTTTCTTCTGATGCTTTTATATTTTTGCATATTCTCTAAGGCTTTGAGACCATCTGGAATATATTTCAGTAGAAGGAATAGGCTTGATTAAGAAAACTGCTGTGGTAGTACTATAGAGCAAGGATCACCTGTTTTTATAAATGAAGTTTTATTGGAAAAAAAACCACGCCCACTTGTTCTGAGTGTATGTCATGCTGCAGTGACCGAGTTAATTGCAACAGAAATCTTATGGCCTAGAAGCCTGAAATGTTTACTATCTGGCCTTTACAGAATAGTGAGAGGCAAGAATGATGGCAGACGAATAGTGGTGGTCAACTGAGAAATGACTTGGGTCTGAACTGAGACTGTAGTGGGGAAAGAGAAAAAGATTGGGGGTGGGGGGAGAGAGAGAGAAACATTAAGGAAATCGAATGAGTAGGACCTTAGATAAATGAAGTGGATTGCTAAGGAGACTTAAAATAAGAACTGAGGGCATGGAGCTGCAGAGAGTTTGAATACCTTGAGGTGAAGCAGGTATTTTCCAGCTCCGTGGGCCCTTTTGTTGTTGTAATCAACAATGGAGTCTAGAATAATTCTAGACTCTGCCCTGCTGTCTGAGAGAGAGCATAGTGAGCCATCTTCTGGAGTCGGATTCCCCTGCATTCAAATCCTGGCTTTGGCTGGCTGACTGACCTTGCCCAAGTTTTATAATCTTACTGGCCTCAGTTTATCCATCGGTAAACTAGGGATAATAATAGTACTTCCTTCCCAGGGTTGTTCTGAGTAATGAGTGAGTTAACATTTGCAAATGACATAGAATTGCCTAGTACATGTCAAGAGCTATACACATATTTCTTAAAAAATAAAATTAATACCTGGCTGCCCCCATTGGCATTTGCTGCCCCTGCTCTAGAAACAATTATGGGCTTCTGGAGTGAAAAGCTAGATGAACGGTGGTGTTCAGACTTAAGAATGTGAATATGGAAGGAAGAAAAGGTTTAAACCAAAGGTGATGAGTGCAATATTGGATAAGTGGAATTTGAGTTGCTACTGTCATATCCAGGTTGGTGGCCATGAAAGACAACAGCTCAGAGAGAACATTAGGCTGGAAGAACTAGGGCTGTTCAGCATGGAGGTGGCAATGAAGTCATAGTAATCGATGTTACCAAGGATCAGTGTGTAGAGTGACCATGCTGATGGTCACCGGAATTTCGGGGTATATCCTCTTTTAAGGATTGGGTAAGGTATCTAATAGACCCTGCAAGGAAGTAAATGGTCAGAGGGAAAAAACAGGAAGAGACCCTGTCACAGAAGCCAAAACAATAGAACCAGTTCATAAAGGGAAGTGATCTGCACAGTCAAATGCTACAGGTCTCCTGAGAAGCCTGGCTGGTGAGAGTTATTTTCCAACCAGTATTGACTGGTTGCTAAATCAGAGAATCATGTTTGCTGTTTCTTCTTAGAGTCTTAAATGAACTGCTTTAAATAATTTATTTTAAAATAATTTTAAGTTTATTACCATAATGCTGATTTCCTTAGGAACAGAGGAAAATATGATAACTAGTTAACTTTTTTCTTGGCCACATCTTC